CACAACAAAAAAAAACTCAACTTGAAATGAACATCCGGAAATATAACATCCATATATCATGGATCCAAAAAAGTGCATTAATTTGCACAAACTCATATTCAGTTTTATCTGCACCACCAACTAAGCAGTTATTTATCTCTGTATCAAAAAAACTCCTTGAACCGTCTCCTACCGCTGGCAGTTCCGATGTTTTTTAAACGTTGTACAGTTCGACGCATCGATGTATCTTGCCAATTATTCCGCAGAACAGTTTTCCAATAATTTATTTCAAAAGTCATTAGATAATCTGCAACAGCGTACTGTTATCAGCACAAATATTTTCAGAACGAAGTGAGCTGGCAATGCTCCAACGCTGTGATTTCTAAACGCTTCGATTTTCGAATTTTAAACGATCAGGCCATAAATGCAACTTTTATTTTTTTCAGCTTTACTTGTATTGGTTAGACGGTTGTGAAATCTTAATAGATTAACTATATGCAATAACAAGAATCGTATATACTAGAAGAATAATCGAGGGGAGGGGGAAAAAGTAGAGGTCTTAAAACTGTATGGAAATGATAGGGTACGAGCGACAGTGACCGACGCCAAAAGGGATCGAATTTTTGGCCCACATTGGTGCTGTTGTAAGCAACAACAACAATAACAGCAGCAGCAGCAGCAGCAGGACTTCTTGCATGGTGACTGTATGTTTATCTGACTGTATGTCCAAAAAATATAGCAACATTCGTCTTATTTAGTAATCCCTGTAATGGGCGCCAATTTATTTATTTTACTACTTTTATCGTCCTAGTACTTACCCTATGTTATTTTATCTTGTCTTAGTTTGGTTTATTGTATTTCAATTCGTTTTATTCCATTTCTTCTCTTAATAACATTTTATTGCATTGAAACTTCTTCGCTTTGTTTGATTCTGTCGTTCACACTACTCAACAGCAATTCGTCATTCGCCGAACAGTGATGATGTTGCTGTTACTATTGGCTGTTGCTGTATCAGGCAAAACATGGATTGTCTGTTTTATTGATCATATTAGTTTAAGAAAAAGTTGTTTTGTTGAATTTTATGCGCTAAAGTAGCTGTTCTTTTTCTTATTCTTTTCCTCTTCGTTTTTGCTTACAGAGTAATTTTTTATCATATCTTTGGTATGATAAGCTGAGTTTGTTGTTGGCGATCAGATTCTGCTGCTTAAATGGTTAACTGGAGATTTTTGATCCTGGTTTTTGGCAGGTGTGATTAATTACTTTGTATCTAAAAAAGTTCACTGGCACAGATGATCGCTGTTTTCGGCAGAGTTTTAGTGGTGCTGTGATAGTAGTTGAATTTTACTTCCCGAAAGTCTCAGAAAACAGAAGCTATGTGGTGACGCGATTGTATGCTCTTTGACTGTCATAATCTCTGGGATTTTGCCACACTTTCGGCAGATATTGAGCAGTTGTAGTGGACTTCAGTTTTTTGTCACAAACGTTCATTTTCCTTTTCTGTATTAGAGTTGAGACTTCATTTTCTGTATGTCACTGGTGAACAAATGTGTCGAACAATGCTACTGTACAACTTATTAGTACTTTGGTGGTTCCAATTTTGAATTAAAGGCAACGATTTTTGGTCAAAATGCAGGATGCCATTTTTTTGTGAGGCAGCTTGAACTTTGCATAGTTTTTCTTAACCTTTAAAGATCAGATGAGTTTTTTTGGAAGGTCTGGTTTTGATGGAAATTCGTCGTTGACGATGTTCATTAATGATTTTTGCCACAGGAGAAAAGGTTGCTTGTATGTTTCATATTCTTGGCTTGAGAAACCTACTAGCCGTTTACTTCATTAGGAAACACAGTCAAATTAGATTATGAAAGTTTGGGACTAGTCTTAATATCCATATCAGGATGAGAAGGCATATTACCATGCCGTATTTGCAGACTGAGCTTCTGAGAAACACATTCCAATTCTAAAATTTTTTTGTTTAAAATTATCAGTTTTTGTTACGCAAGCTGTTTTTGAGTGGCTGAACGTTCGTGTCTTTGTTTAAAGAGTGTCGTTTATATTAGCAAGTGAATAAATGTGTTTTTTCTGAACAGTGAGGTGCATTTTTTTTTTTTAGGAAGTTTATTTTTAAGTTGTAGTTACTTGACCTTTTTATTTTATTTGTTAATCCTGAATATTTCAGGGATGAGCGCAGTGTTAGCATGTTCACAAAACGGAAGTGGTGGTTTAAACCCGATGTCGTTTACCGATCCGCACGGTAATGTTTTATTGGAAAGGTTGCGCTATCAACGTGATACGGGAAGATTTTGCGATGTATATTTAATTGTTAAAGACAGGCGTTTTTCTGCGCATCGAAATATTCTGGCGGCCTGTAGCCCTTACTTTGATTCGATATTTAAAAACTCAAGAGTTGTTAAGGAGCAGGTGAGCTGTTCAGTTTTAGACCGTGTTTGTTCGCAAGAGTTGCTTGTTGCAGTGATCATTAAATACGTTCAAAGTATCATTTGTGGTATCCAATTTTTTAATTCAGGTTACTGTTAATTGTCAGAATCCAGCTGTTTTTGAGCAGCTTTTGAACTATATGTATAGTGGTAGCGTTGTAATTGATCGAAGTAGCGTAATGGATCTCTTGAGGTTCGCCAATAATTTCTTGGTAATAATTTTGTTTTTTATTTCTTTCTTTTTTGAGTTTTCCAGTAAGTAAAGGAAGGGTCTATTTAAGGTAACGAAAGTGAAGAACTATTGTGCTGAGTACTTGGTAAGACACATGGATGCATCGAATTGTACGACGATAAAGGAAGTGGCACTGAAATACAATTTACCAGCATTGAGAGATAGCGCAATGAGTTTTTTTGACGTACACATAAATAACTGCTTACTTGAAAGTGCAGATATGACTGATTATACATTTGCGCAAATCAATGCCCTCTTTTCGGATCCACGATATATAGATGCTATATCCCCGGATGTCCATTTTAAGTCAGTTTTTCTTTTATTTTATTCTTGTAAGACTTGTTCTACTTATAATAGTTTTTGGACAGCAGCTATGAAACAAATTTAAGAGGTTTTAACTGGGCAGAGTTGTACAGCGTTCTTCTTTGTTTAGGTTCATCATCCGTTGGGTGGGTCATGATCCTGCGGGAAGGGTGTCCTACTTCAAGGAGTTACTGCAGTCATGTCAACTGAATATGGTGCCATTGACAACTGTAGAAAACATGTTGGATTGTTCTCCTTTTTTAGCCAATTATTTGCGAGCGCGATTTATTCTTCTGAATGCCATGTTTGTTATTATCACTGTTATCATCATTATTGACATTATTATATTTTTTGTATTCAAGGGGGCAAATTTTTTTAGTGAAGTCGAATTGTTTCTTCACCAGTGCTACAAATCTAAGTTACGTAGCTGCCCACCGATAGATTTTTTTAAAATATGACACATTAGACGCCTTACGGTGGTTTTTCCGTATCAATTTTAGCACGAATCTTTTCTACTATAAGTTTACTAGCTTTATGCGGTGTAGTAGTTTTTATGATTAAAGTCAGTTTTCCAAGGATTTTTTTGGAAATCTATTTCTCTCGTGATTCATTTGTTCTAAATTCCTCTTCCTTTAGCTATAATAATTCTGTCCAAATTCCGAAGTATGAGGCCCAATATCGAAGTTTAATTGAACAGTTTGACGACAATATGTATTTTAATAATCAGCAGATGGTGTTTGCAAGTAACGAGAACCAGTCCACAGACGGGTATGCTTTGCCAACTTTTTGAGAAAATATCATTGTGTTTAAGTCGCACGAAATAAGCGTTGAACATTTTTTTTTACAGCCTTCAGTGCAAGGAGCAACTTTCTGGTTTAGAAGGAGCTAACGCCATAAGGCAGGACCGGGGAACTGTGATCTTTGAAGAAGTGCCAGGGCAATCAAATGTTTTGGATACTTCTGCCAGTGAGCAAGGAGTAAATTATCCCTCGGTGCCAAAGGTAGCCTTTCACCGGAAGCATTTCTTAGAATCTGATACTAATTTCTTCACTTTTCAAAGGCATTTAAATCAATAACTCTTTGAACAATCTGTTCTGGTATTTTCAGGAACTTTTTTTAGAAAGTTACTTTTTTAGTTATGTTGTGACAATAGTGTTGATGGGATTCGGCCGTCATTGAAACTGAAAATTCAATTGAATACAGCGAATATGACAAGCAAAAAAAGCCGTCTGCTAGGTAACTCTTGATAGTTATTTATGGTGACACAGAGCGAGTTTTAGTTTTATCACAAGTGAATTATGGAACGGTATATTAATTTTTAAAAAATAGCTTTATAGCTTTTTTTTTTAGGAAAGACAAACGCTGCTGCAGAAAGACATAAATTGTATAGAAAGAGTGTTACAGCAGCCAACCAAATGCTTGCGAAGAGACGCGGAAGGCCGCCTAAAAATCGCGAAATGTTCACGAAGCTAGATCCTCAGTTTGGTGATGATTCTGTATATATGTGTGAGTCGGATTTTTTGAACGACTCTACGGGCAGTGAAGTTGACCAGGTACCTTAGTGTCCTCCTTCTGTCGTATGTGCATTTCTGAGTTACTTCTTGCCCATCCTTTTTTTTATTCTGCTGTGAATTTTTTTCAGGATAGGAGAGGTATCTGTCATCAAGCAGTTCTCCTTGATTAGCTTTTCCACTAGATTTTTTGGTAGTCACAAAGATTTTTGCTTATTGAATGTGTACTTACTTAAAGATTTTTAGACAGTGTTCGAAGAACCTGATGAAGTGGATCCTCTGTTACTTCAAGATGAAGTTAGTTGTGCAGATGTAGCCATGGAGGGTCAAGTAGCTCACAACACTTTTAAATGCAAATATTGCGAATTTCGAGCCATACAAGAAAAATCGTTAAGGAGTCATGTTAATCGCGTGCATGCTCGTAATTTAGGTTACGCTTGTGGAGTTTGCAATTTCCAGTGTCGTTGGAATAAGGAGTATTATGACCACATGAAAACGCATTACCAGGTATTTTTATCTTACCTGTTATTAGGATCTTCAGGTTTTGAATTAATTTTTTGTAGCTTTTACCATTCAAAACCGACTATTCTTTTTTTCTTTTTTTGAAGGGTCCTCCGTTCCACTGCGAACAATGCAGTTATGCCGATGACCGGATGCATAATTTCCTCGTTCACCGTCTTTCGCATAGTAATTCGTTCATTTTTCTTTTCTCTAACTCTTTATAGCCACCTACGAAATTATTTCCTTTACACTTTTCCGGCTTCAGCAAAGATTATTTCTAGATGAGGAAAGGCCGTTAAAGTGTTTGCTTTGTGTGTACACGTCGAGATCTAAATCGAATATGATTGCTCATCTGAGTGAGCATACGTCTGAAAAGCGGTTTCATTGTTTTGAATGTGGTTGTGGCTTTACAACACAGGAGGAACTCAATGAACACTCGTCTGCACATGTAAATCCAAGGTCTTGAACTGATCTGATCGTTTCTGATAAGCTTTTTAAAAAATAATACTTTGGGTGGGATTTTCACAGTATTATATTAGACGTTTAGTAGTTCTTCTAACCAAGTGGTTTTTCATACTTCTACTTTTTTTTTCCAATTTAATTTTTTTAACTGTTACGTTCTAGGGTTTTTCAATGTCCTCAGTGCAAATTCTCAACGAAATACCAAAGTCATTACATATCACATCGCCGTATTCATTCTGGCGATGTATTCCACTGCCATTATGAAGCGTGTACTTATTACTCACCAAAAAAAAGCCAACTTGCTGCTCATTTGAGGTCGGATTACTTTTTTTATAGGTCTGTATCTTCGTTGTAGTTGAAGAATTTTTTGAACTGGAAAAATTTCAGAACTCACCTTGCTGTTCGATCTCACCAGTGCAAAATATGTAATCGTTCCTTTATAGAAAAATCTCATCTTGTGCGCCATGAAAGGATTCATTTAGAAGATAAACCATTCAAGTAATTTTTAGATATTTTTTGCGGTTGAACTATTATTTTTTAGTCGTTATTTTCATGGCCTAATGTAAATCTGTTCATATTATGTATTGATATAAAAATTAAGGTGCTGAACCCTGAAGTTGAAGGGTGTTCTTTGATTTAGATGTGACAATTGTGATTATGCATCGTCTCGGCGAGACAAGTTGAAAGAGCACATACAAAAGCATCACAGCAGTGGAGCAGTAGGCAAACAACATCGACGAAGATATAGGCGTGCAAAAGAATTACTCGCTGTGTGTAACAAGGTTTGTGAATCTCTTTATTTCGCGCATGTAGTTCATAGCATCTAAGTTTTAACTTGTAATTTGCTCTTAAGTGGTAAATGAAACTTCTTTTTATTTAGACACCAGCTAATTTTGAAAATCTCTTTCAACCAATACCGCAATCAGAGTTTGTTGGGAGTTCTGGAAACAGTCTCGGTGTTTCCACACCGGCAAATAATGGTATAATTCAGCAGCAACAAAAACAGCAAAAACGGCAGGAACAGCAGCAAGGGCGACAGCAACAGCAAAAACAGCAGCAAGAACAACCACAGCCACAGACTTCTGGAGAATATATTTTGACAGGGATGAGTAATCTTGGTCAGAGCCATCAGACTCTACAAGTACCTGGTGAATCTTTTGTTTTGCTCTCTTATGTAGAAAAAGTACTGTAAGTATTTTTAGATGTTTATTATGCTCTTTTATAGTGCGTAGGCAATAAGTAACCTCTGCAGTTATATGTATCATTTTTTCGACTGTTCAAAAAACAGGAGATTTTCAGCCACTCTTAACGCTGCACAGCCACAAATCCCTTCTATGTTAAATTTTGTCCAGATGTCGACCCTCCCAAACCTAGGTGGCCGTCCGTCTTCCGCAATGCTTCCTCAAGCTGTGGTCAACAACCCTGTGTCGCCAAGTACATTAAGTCTTCATAATTTCCATTCAGGTATTTCAAGAACAGCTATAAGTTGTGGAGTAGTTTCCTCAGTTTGAGATAGAGATCCTGGCTTTTGTAAGGCTATTTCTGTACAGGCATATCGTAATTCGCATTACTTTAGCTTATTCTGACTCCCCAATTACGAGCAATAAGGATTTAACTTTATCGAATGCACTTCTTGATTCTGGTTCTCTAAGGACTCCCGTGTTAGCTCACACTTCTTCACCGCATAGTATTGCTGGATTGGAAGGATTTGAAAATGGTTCCGGGTGGCAAGATATCCCTCGGCCTATGAGTGAGCCATCTTATTTAATGCAGCAGCAACAGAGTGGTGATCTTGCTGGCGATGAGACGTCATGGCATGATGCACCACTTTGTTGAAGTATGTTGTTTCGTTTATATGCAGATTTTGTTGTTCTTTTTACACGTTCTCGTTATCTTTTCTCTTAAAAAGTAGTTTTCAGAGCTTAGAAGATTTTGTTTCTATATTTGAAGGTTTCATCGTTAATTTTTTTTTCAATTGCTGCTTATGCTGGATTTTTACCGCGCGCTATATTTGTTAATATTGTTTGTTCCTTTGTTGTTTGATCTCTACGTCATTTATTTTTCTTGTCCTTTTTACATTTTGACACCCATTTTTGATAGAGAAACATTGCGATAAATTGGTCTGTGAGAATTTTTTGTCGAGGTTCTAGAAATATTTTGGCAATAAAAGATGCTTTTAGGAACAGCTTCACTAACTTTGCGCTCTACTGATTCTGAGTTGTACTTCTTGAGCGGTGCTCGTTTTGGGTTTTTCTTGAGCTACAATTTCAGATTGATAAATGTTTTACATTGTAATATTTGTGACTAATTGTTAATTTGTATTACTTGTCAGTGTTTAAAAAATGGAAGATTGTTAACCGTTTTGTTTAAGGGGGAAAAGTAAATATATGCTCCGTTTTATTAGAAATTACTCTTTTACTCTTCTAAAAATTTTTCTGCAGTGATTAGTCGCTTTCTAACATACCTCGGATGGATGAGGTGCAGTGGCATTTTGTCTGAAGGATATTTTGGTTTGACTAAGGGGGAAGTTTGTTGCTCAAAAAAAATCGTTTTGAAGGTGCTTTGGATTGGTGCTCTTGTTATTGAGTGAATTTTTTTGGGTTGGTTGGGACAACTCACACACGAGTATCAGAAATCATCTTCGGCTGGGTATTACTTCTGTTTTATTCAAAGTATATCGACGGATGGCAGTGGGGTTGGTAAGTCCGTATTACTGGTCATTCGGGTGGTCAAACTGAACCGCAGGGTCAAAGGGGTTGGTCGAATGCTTTTTTAAACTTTTATATATCCCATCTTGAATGGTTGTATTTATTTTACATGGAAGAACAAGCCTCTGCATACTTTTAAGAACTGTGTATACTTCGCATATATAATTTAGATGATTTAGTTGGAGATCACCCAACTTTTGTATTTCTCAAGCTCTTCAAAAATCCAGTTGAAACAATGGTTAGTTTCTGCTCTTTGTCCGCTATGACAAAGAGCAGAGATTAACCATTGTGCGCACCCAAAATCTATAAAAATAACGTTCGGTTTTGGCAGTCCATGTTTCAGTCACGAAGTGAGAAGTACTGTGTATATGTATCATTGTTCTTGTTGTTACTGCGTGAGTGATAAGTAAAGCATTAAAGTAATCAACAAAGAAATGTGGCTACGGAAAATTTTCGACGTATTTTTTGGAATATTTTGGATAATGGCAACTGCAGCTGAGGAATTGTTGTCAATGATTGGTTAAAACAGTGCTTTGCATCACTTTTTCTTTATTGTAGGAAGGTCAGATTTGCTTTGAAGAAAAAAAGTCGTAATCGTCTACTAAAAGTGACTATAATACTATTGCATATGAGTGTCGTTTGATACTGACTGAATCTCACGGACTTTTCGTGTTTTAAAAAACCAGAGTTCAAATTACTGATGATAGTTTGTTGTATCAGGGATGGAAATGATCTCTAAACAGGCGCGGTATCAAACAGTGGCTTTTATTTTATTTCATGTCACTTTTTCGTTGAGTTATAGCCAATAAGGTTCAGAAGTTCAGTTTTGAAACATAGATCAGTTCTTTATTTTACCCTGCGTTATATTACAGGAAATAGTTGTTTTCTTTATGGATCATAATTGTTTCTGAGGGGCGACTACTTAGTTTATGTGTTAAACACATTATTGTTTTAAATGAATTATAAAATTCTCAATTTCTTTTCTTTTCCTTCTTATTCGTTGCAGGTTGCTCTGGAAGTGCTTCCGCCGCTTTCGGATTTCCGTAAGGTGAATAGGTACGGGCAGCTTCCTAAAGTTTTTCCATTTAGAAGTTGAGATGACTTTTGTTGGTTTATGATATTAGGGCTTCATATCTTATGAATAATTGAAGTGTACAAGAGTATTTTTTTATTGTTATCATTTGGCAGTAATTTGGTACCTCCATTTTGATAAGGTTTGTTTGTTTGTTTGTGAAAACTAAGTCTCTCTGTAGTTGTGAGATCATCGATATTACAGTATCAATTTGTTGGCAAACATCAAGGACCGTGTTTTCAAGACGATCAACTCGTTGGTTTATTCTAAAAGTTTTGGTCAACAAAAGCTATTTGCTTTGTCAAAAAAGAGGCAGATTGGAAGAGAAATCCAAAAATTTCTTTTGCAATTAATTTAAAAATTAATTTACCAGTTAACTGCTAAGTCTTTTGGATGGTTCTTTCAGAAGTTATGGCGATTACTCACGCCCGTTTTTGGGCCGCTGTTTTGTTCAAAAAACGTGGTTTTCAATAAAAACTGTTTAAACTAACGTTGAGAGTTCTCTTCTGCGATCTATCATTTTTACTTCATCTCCGTCAATTGTCTTTTGAGATCTGAGTGACATTTCGACAAGTTTCATTTCCTCTAGGTCCAATCTGCGATCTGTTATATCGTATTTTACAAAGGCATCATTGATCTCCTCGTCATTGAAGCCTTGTCTGAAATGATAATTCAAAATACTTCAGTTGGAAAAAAGATGTCATTAACTCATTATTTTGAGGAGAAACGAACTTACAATTGAAGACTTTCTTTCAGAATGTCTATGTCTTTCTTCTCCTTAGGTTTAGACTGTAGATGTAAAAAGCGCATAAGTTTTTGCCAGTGCTAGAAAAGCAGTTAGAGGATATTTAAGAAAATTATAGCTAAATTACAGTAAAGCTGCTGGAGTGGAACAGTGAAAGAAACTGGAAAATTTGTTGATTTTTGTTGTTTAGAAGCAGAAAGATCCATTATTTTTTTTTTCTGGTCTAGGGGTTCTGAAAAAGACTTTTATGGGAAGCGGTCTATAGTTGATTGCCATTTAACCTTGTTGACAATGTCAAGCATTTCGAGCTCAGCTGGTTTTTGCCGTAGCTCGGACTTGACTTCACTGTATGAATCAGCGATGATGGCCAAGAACATGTTCTGTAATGGGTGAAAAATTGGTAACTGTGGAGTCAACCTGCAGACAGTGTTTTAGCGAGTTATTGCTAACGATAAAAAATTACTTTCAAACATTTTATGTTTGAATAGAGCAGTTTTGGAACTGACCAGTAATATGAAGAAGACGAAGAAGACATAGGTGAAAAAGAAAATTGGGCCTAAGGTACGATCAGCCTTTTCAAGTGCATAATAGTCGAAATCGCCGAGAATAACTCTCAGTAACGCAAACACTGAACCGTAAAGATTCGAGTAATCGGCAACCTGATTGAAAAAGTATATTCAATAATTATGGTTATTCATTGTTCTAATGAGCAGTGCTGTTGACGTCAGGGAGCTGTCACTAAACGTAACCAAACCTGGGTTCCGAAAATTAAATAACCGAATTGTGCATAGCCAAAGAAGAAGATAAAGAACATGATAGAGAAGCCACCGATATCTTTTGCAGAGCGACCTATTGTGGCGCTCAGCTGAGTCATAGTTTTGTTGAAACTTAGGTATTTTATGAACTGAAAAGCACGATTGTAGCATTCTGTTTGCTTTTCTGGCAAATTTGAAAACGAAGAAGTTTTTTGGTACAACTTGGCGGATTATAAATTATTTTTGAGTTTTAAGCACGTTAGAACTCTAGAGAAGCGGGATTACAAAGGGTAAAAAAGTTACTGTTTAACTTTAATCTCATTTTGCGCTCGATTACTTGGAAAAAAGTTCTGAATTAGTGTAGGATTATTTTGCTGTACCTTGATCCACGAAATTATTAATAGACAGGCCATGCTGAGAATAAAGTCGTCATGGGTGAAAACTAGACTATCCATGTTCACATAGCCGCCTTGTTCTCCAACGTCCACCGTAGCTTGCAGATTATTATTGATTGAGAAGAAGTGTTGGATGCCGAACCAAATGACAACATAACATGTCTAGAAATTTGAAGAGTAATCAACTTATGGAACATTTTAGAATTACCTAACTACTGCTCTGAAGCAGCCAGTTGAGCGACTTTCCTGTCTAAATTTTTCAAAGGAACCTGAGTGGGATTTGCTCAGTTTGTTTCGTTTAGCTTTAAGATGACAGAAACAGTCAACTAATTGCTTACTGCAAGGTTTAAGACGTCGTAAGAGTTCCAGAAATCCTTAAAGTATGATAGACGGCAACGGGCTATTTCCAGGATTTCTTCAATGGTGTAATAGAGAACAAAAGCGCAAAAGAGTAACTCGCATACAAAAACAAAGTAATCGTAATTGGTGACATATCGGATCAATTGCTTTAGGTTCAGCAGTGAGCTTGCAATGACACCACCAGAGGCCGGTAGCTCAAATATGATTCTAAAGCCGAAAACTTTTTTTGCTCATAGTGAACTCAGCAGTGAAAAGGATAACGTATCAGTTTTTTCCTTGAACCAAACTTCATTATTTACCTTAACTATGGATAGCGAAGTTTTGAAGGACAGCTTACATGAGATATCATTGGTGGGTGATGAAATAACGCAAATGCTGGACAGTATGGCTTTTATTGTTTTCTGATATTGTTAAATCAACTTACTTGACGATGCAGAACATATTTATGTTGCCGTTGTAGAGTGAAAAATCCACGAAAAGAACTCTAGTTCCACGGTCTATGAAACGCATAGCCTGTAAGCCCTCAATTATTTTCAACGTCTCTACTGCATTGTCGACTGTAAGGTCTTGTATGAATCCTCCACCATCGTATCTACTAATTTTGCCACTGTATGCTAGACTTTTTGTTGTGCTGACCGGTTGATACTCATACCTATAAGAAAAAAGGGTGTTGTGATGCTGTTAGTATTTAATTTTCTTTGTGACATTACAGTTACTATCTGCTTTAGTTTTTTATTGTTATTGCTAAATTAATTTTTTGTATTTATTACATATTGTCAAGTGAATAAGTGCAACCTACTTGATCTCACCATTTTCAGCATTAACAATTGGTGTCTGATCTTCATTTCGTTTATTATAGGCTCCATAGCAAGATTTAATTTCTCGTCTGAATGCAGTTACAACTTGGCATGATGAGTTGTGCACCTACAACAGTTTAAATCCTGGAACGACAGTTTGTGCATTTGTTTATATCTGCGTAATGAACAAATGAAGATCGCCTGATAAATAACGCAGGATTACCAAATTTTAATCCTAAGGTCTCATCATATTACTGAGGTGTCGAAAGGGATTACGGTGTGATGAAAAATTATCAAAGCAATCTAGAAAAGGATTTTTAGTTGCAATTTGGAGGGTTACTGCAGGATAATACTGTTCAGAATTGAAATACATAAGAGAAGGCTTAAAAAAAAGATTATTGATGCAAAATGAAGATGCGGTATTGCATGCTAAGACTAAATCTGAGGAACTGAAAATTGGGAAGAAAGTTGGAGAGGTTTTCATATTAAGTTGGTGAAAACGAAGATGCTTTGGACCGTTAGGCTATTTGATAGATCAAGGTGTCTGTATTAGTCTTACTCACAAATTCCTCCTACTGTTTTAAGTAACTGAGAATTGCACTTTTCTAGCTGTTAGTTATTTTCTCTGCCTTTGTGTCTAGTCCTAAATCATTTGGGCTTTTTATTTTTTCAAAACATGTTCAGGATGACTAATTCACAGTTTGCCAAAAACTTCTTATGAATAGGGGCTTTTGCATAGTTTTATCTTCCAAGTATCGATGGAGAAGCGCAGCAAAAGGATTCATCTAAAAAACGGGCAAGGTCTGTCTCTAGTACGATGTAGAGGGTTTGCTTAGATTGCATAGTTGCACTTCTTGAGCGGTGCTGTCACTTTCAACTTACATCAAAGACGATAGCTTTAAGTAGCTACAAAAGTTTCTTGGCTTTTTGGACGAGGGAACAGCGCAAAACTAAGATAAGTAGCTTAATTTTCTTTCTTACCAAAATTTCATATTGTAGTGAGGTGCCGTTTGCAATTTTACGTAAAACCTTTAAGCTTCAACTGAACAATGATAAACGAAATCTTTTGTTTTTGATATAAAAGGTTTTTGGTTGGCGGTATAATTCGTATCGAAAAATACACCAGGTTTTCCCGATTATTTGGTTCCTTCAGCTTACTTAAGGCATCATAAGTGCAATTCTTTTAAAGTAATATGAAATCTAGAAAGCAAGAAGCACAAACAGCGGGAACCAATGTTATTTTAAAAAATTTTAGTAGTCTGTTTCTTCATAAGTTTTCAGGAAAGATTCTTTGATTGAAAAAGTTGCATTTCTTTGAAACCAGTAGTAAAGTCTGGTATTATATTTAGATTAAACTCATAACAGTTACTTTCAACATTCTTAATCTTGGCGCTCCCAGAAGACGGCTTTCGTAATGAATCATTGAATGTTCCGAAAAGTTTTGCGGTGTTTTGGCAGTATTATTCCAATACAGGTTGGGTATGAAGTCTTTTTTCAAGTACTGAAAAGGTAACTGTTATATTTATAAAAATTCAAGTTTTATTTGTAGACCTCTCTGACTCTTGTACTATTCACGTTTTATCATTATGTTAGTTGTGGAAGTCTTTCGCAAGATACTTGATGAGTTGAATTAGGCGAAAAACCGACAAACCTTCCAAATATCGTCCATCATGACAACTTTGGTAAGCTTGTCGGCTACAAACAGGTCGTCAATACTTTTTTTGTAGTAGTACACCGTTGATGACGCCATAGAAAAGGCGACTGAAAGAATTAGTAAGTAAACCTCTTTTCAACTGTTTTCTTTAGAAGTCATCATCCAGTAACAGTTTTGATCTACTTTTACTTTCTAAACGTAAATATGTTGGAAGAGTCCCGTTTCTGACAACATTTGGCAAAATTCCGTTCTAAATTTTTAGATATAACTAAAAGCTTGATAGTTCTTTGACAAATTTTTTCTTTACCGATAGTTGTGATTATCAGAAATAATAAATAGGTGAAAAGTTCTCGAATAGTGACATTCAGCATCATGGCCCGATCATGTTCTACACCCTCTCTCGTCATCCACAAGGCTGTAAGTGGTAATAGTGGATTAATGAAACGGAAAACAGCCGTAGAACGGCTTAAATCTTACTAATGCCGAGGTGTTTAGTTATACTTTAAATGCATCTGTTAACAATAAATCTAAAAAAAGTGTCTACGCTGCATGAATTTGTACTCATGCCTGAAAATCAGCAGTTACTTTTGTACGCAAGTTTTTTTCTAAAGTTTTCAAAGAAAAAACTAACATTTTGCCCCGTAGAGGAACGATTTTGCTTTACTTTTTCCCTTGTTCTTGGACTTTTCACCGTAATTAGCATCTTCAAATGTCTAAATCGTTCTTTGAAAATAAATTTGTATTTACTTTCTTTATTCCTAGTTATATACGAGAAAAAATAGTATTGTTTAGCAACGTGTTTACATGCTCTTTTCATTTTTAAAATTAAGAGAAATAAAAGTTTTGGTAACCAACTTTGTAAGGAGATTTATAAGCAACGTAAAAAGCATTGTTAGAGAAGATGGAGACTTCAGAAAATTATAAGTATAATTTGTATTAGTTTTCACTTTAAAAACCCTCGCAGCAAAACCAATAGATATTGAAGGAACAAACTTCAGATTCTAGTGCTGTTGGAGTAGGCCGCGGTGTGGCGACCAGAGGTGGAACATCCGGGTTTTCCGTGTCGTACATACTTCCACACAACTGTGGTGGAGCATCAACAAAATTGTCTACCGGAGCCGTTGCCGGCTTAGCATCGTCGGCCGGAGATGATGCCGGTTTAGCATCTTTTCGTTGACGAACTGAAGACATCTGTGTAGATCTTCTCCCTTCCAGATGTAATCCAAATTTGGCTTTTCAGATAATTACGCCACAGCAAACAGATGTTTGTAATTGTCGAAAGCTGAAGAAGAGTTTGTAGGTAAAAAATTAATCAGTTTTACGTAACACTAATTTTTCAGTTAAACCAAAACAACTACTGATGTTTGTGGCAGACTTGTTTATTTCTAAGTAAATAATCAAATCACTGCAAGGCTAGAGTAAAAATTTATGGTATACTGAAAAATATTTCAAGCAGTTCAAGACGAAACAGTTTCGTTTATGCTTGAAGAACCGAAATACCACTATCAACAGAAAAAAACTGCCTAAAAGAAATGTCGTTGCTGATGACAATAAAATGGTTACTAGGTCACAAAAAATATGACAATCCACCAATGACTGCAGTCTGAGTAGAAGGAGACCAACTGCCGAAATGATTCCCGCATTTGTTCTGGCTAAAAAAAGATTTTAAATCCGTTTTTATTGAAAATTTTAAGTGTAGTAGTTTTACTGTATTCAGTCAGAGTATTATCCAAAATAAATAATGAGTCGATTTATATTTCTACAATTGTAATTTGACTGATGGCGTCCTTTAAGTTAGTGTGTAAGCTTGATGAAATGTTTTGGAAAAAACGATCATCTAACGCATGTGAAATTAATTTCCACATCATTGTCTGTTGTACAATAACATGAATAGATGATAGCTTGTTACACTTTGATGTTTGTTAAATTTTCTGGTTTATACTGATCATTTCAAATTTATAACAGTGAAAATACTTGAAAATAATCCTGGTAAGAAATATTTTTTTAAAAATCTTATTTAGCAGAGTCTATAGTTCTGTTTGACAGTTGTTGCTCTAATCTTTCCTAGAAGAAATCTTTGTTTATAGATCATATAAAGACAAATAGTGCCATTAAGAGCAAAGAATTTATCTGTTTGAGAGACCGTACAACCGTTTCTCATCTACCATTTGATTACTCATTCAAACTTTGAGTTTTGGTTAAATTCATACGAAATAAATAGCACATTACCGGACAAAAGCTGTAACTATCCAGTAGCGTGCAAAAGTTTTTTGCACCAAATAAATAAAGTGTAAAAAGTGTTTCTGGTAAAACAGAATTGTATTGTTTATTAAACTCATAAAACAATACAAGTTTCAATTATATTACATTAAACAAAGTTTCCTTCATCTTGTTTATCTGTGTAATCGTTGTTGATGCTGAGTTATTCATTCATTTATCTCAAATTGAATAAGTAAAATTAAAAAGAAATATTATTTTTTTTCCTTTCGTTTATGTTTTTTTTGCTTCTCTTCTTTTGTTATATTTTTTTGAAGTCTCCCTTCTTGTTTTTTTTATTGCGAAAGAGGTTTTTGATTGTACGCAATAAATAAAGCATATAAGAATTCAACAAATAACTATATTTTCATTAAGAACAGCTTTTCAAGTGAACATTTTTGAATCACTTAAAAAATATTAATTTTTTTCTTGTTCAGTAGATGGAATATTATGCTACAGATAATACAGCGGATGAACATCATCACCTAACAACATAGGTGCAGCAAACAGGAAGAAAAACTAAAAAGAAACAATGCGATCAGACATGGAAGCATTAAGCTCAGTTTCCTTGACAAATTGTTGCCCACAGTGTTCACCAACGAAACATCTGCACAATCCTGGCTTCAATAATGCCTTTTCTATAGACTGAAGAAATAAGCACTAAGAATGTTGAGTTTTTGCCAGGCTTAAAATGGTTCTGCCGGTTAGGAGTAAAGCAATAGCCAAAGGCTGGAGAGCTTTAAAAGGAAATTCGTGTGCCAGTGTTCTTAAATTTTTCAGAACAAAAATTAATACGAGGCCTTTCCACTGTTTGTTTAGAGCAGTTGAAACGTGCACAAATATGAAACTTTCTGGTACGGTGTCATTAATATTTCAGTAAACCTTTCTGCAGTGGTTTATAGTTGTTCCTGTTTTCTCCTCCTTTCCTTCTCGTTGTGTTAGTAAAAAAACGTTTCAAACTGCTTTTGCACATTTTTCTTTCCTGACAGCTAACACAATGAATAAACTATTTGCTGTATCAATTTTTCCAAAATGAAAAAGATGCTTTGAAAGGAACACACCAAATTTGCGGCCTGTTGAAAGCATGTCTGAAATAAAAAAAATTCAGATTCCTGATTTGACAAAAGGAGAAATAAGGAAGAAAAAAAGAATAATAAGCTAAAGAAACGTCTTTTTTTAAGATAGTACTAAATGGAAAAGCTAAAAATGAAAATGTTCTAGAGTCATCAAAATACGTACGCAGCACTTGTGTACTTAATTGAAGCCTGCAATGCAAGTTTTTTCTTTGCTAAACCATAATAGTCAAAAAAAAAAAAAAAAATTAAAATTAAAATAAAAAAAAGCAGAAGATCGCTATCAAAATAAATTATCTCAGCTCCTTCTTATTTTTCACAACCAACATGACGTTTTATTAGTTGTTTACAATTCCAATTCATCAAGGATAATTTTATAGCCAAAATTCGATTCACTAGGTTGGTTAACATATCTTTTTTCTTTTCTTTTACCGTAATAGACTTTCCTTTTTTTCCACGGTACTCCTAACGAGACAATCAAAAAGCAGCAGTCATCATCATTTTTCTCGTTATCACTGACGTCATTAGAAGGCCCAGAAATGGGCTGCCAAACAAAGTACAAAACGGCATAAGCAAGTGAAAATAGTTCATCTCAGAACTTTGATGGTTACATAAATTCATTGTTGTTGCTGTTGCTGCAGTTCTTCCTGTTATTGCTCGGAATTGATATGATAAACGATCAAAAAACAACAAAAAGCATTTGCAGTATTTCAGTCCGTCTTCTGCTAAAAGGCTTCACAATAACGTTCTGCTAGACAAAAAAAAAACCATTGTTTCGATGTAATTTTGTCACTGCTTTCAACACCGCTTTCAACATTGTCACTGCCCTCATCGATGATGACTGATTTCTGTTTTTGGAAGATGAAGAGATAGAAATCAAAAACGGAGCCAAATAAATTTACAGTTTTTCGAAGATATAATAAATATATAAACTGATGTTTCACAAAGGAGTGTTTGGAGTGAAAAAAAAAGGAAGACAAGAAAAAAAATACAGCATCAAAATTTAATAAATTTTTTTCTTCGTTGATGTCTTGCAGTATCCAATACAAATTGGTGTTTGGCGTCAGCTTAACAGTTATCTGTGTTGAAATGTACATGAATCCCTCTGTCTAGACTGTTACCAAAATATCCCAATCAACATCAATAATTTATTTTTGACGATTCATCTAAGTCTATGCTACAGTTGCGTGACTAATGATTAAAGTGAAATATGAATCAACTAAGTAAATAACAAAGAACCGCAATAAAATTCGTAAAAATTTGTACTTCCTTCTTTTTATTTTCGCAAATATTACCCTTAGCCAGCTTAGGCCAGTAAACTTGTTAAATCGTAGTATTTACACTAAAAGACTGCTCCTTTATCTCTAAAAATATAAACTGAATGAATAATCTAAAATAACTTTTCGTCGTAAATGAAAAATAGATCACAAGTTAACGTAAAATAACTGACAACTATCTATTAATTTATGGTTTCCTTGTTGACTATGTGATTTCAGAAAAAACTGAAGAAAAAAAAACGGAATGATATAACAGCATTTGTTATTT